AGAAGATCTTCATGATCGGCTTGTGGACGTTGAAGCTGACCTGGTCACTATTCGCCCTTCCAATCAGGCTCCTACTACAGCTTTTTCTTCCACTCGGGGTCATAATTATGGCCGCTCACCTGGTGGGTCTCGTCGCCATTCCCCTGGTTATTCATCCTATGGGTCTGATGCTTACCCTCCTCGCGATGATAGCCCTCGCCAGTCGCGCGGTGCTCCATCCTCTCGTTCGTCCGCCGGTTATATGCCCGGTTCTGCTGCTCCGTCTCTCCTCGGCAGGCCACGACTGCAATGTCAATTCTGTGATCGACCTGGTCACTCCGCCAAAGACTGCTACCGCATTCGCGGGCGCCCCCAAGCTCATCATACTACTGCTGGCTCCTCTTCATCATCCGGGTGGTTGGTCGATTCTGCTGCTACGAATCACATGACCCCCGACCTTGGTAATCTCTCTCTATATACCGATTACAGTGGTCCGGATGAAGTCCTCATCGGCGATGGGTCAGGTCTGATTATTACACATGTTGGCAACTCTCATTTATCATCTCCTATCACACGTTTGCATCTCCATAATGTTTTACGTGTGCCTGCTATCAAACGTCGTCTTCTTTCTGTTGCCCAACTGTGTAAGTCTAACCCGGTGTCTGTGGAATTCTTCTCTAATTTTTTTGTTGTGAAGGATCTAGCCACGGGGGCGCACCTGCTGCGAGGCCAGAATAGAGGTGATGTTTATGAGCTGCCCGCGGATTCTCCTCCTGTTCGTCTTGCCTTAACCGCTACAACCCGGCTCTCTTCTACGGTCTGGCACAACCGGTTGGGGCATCCTCATGCCAAGCTCCTTTCTCGCGTACTGCGTAAACAGTCCCTACCAGTTATTTCTCCTACATTTTCTTCTTTGTGTGACTCTTGTTCTCTTCATAAAAGCCGAAAACTGCCTTTCTCCGTTTCAAGTCTCACTAGTTCTCGTCCATTTGATTTATTATATATGGATGTTTGGGGGCCTTCTCCCATTGTTTCTCATGACCATTACACTTATTATCTAGTCATTGTTGATCATTTTTCTCGATACACCTGGCTTTATCCTCTTCGCCGTAAATCTGATGTTCATCATGTTTTCACCACTTACAAAACAATGATCGAAAATTACTTTCATACCTCGATTCGGCGTATTTATAGTGATGGTGGTGGTGAATTCCAGAAACTATGTTCTTTCCTCCAAACACATGGCATTACTCACCTATTAACTCCTCCACACACTCCTCAGCACAATGGCCTCGCAGAACGCAAACATAGACACATAGTTGAAACTGGTCTCGCCCTTTTGCATACTGCCAACCTCCCACTTCGTTACTGGTCTCATGCTTTTCAAACTGCTACCTACCTCATCAATCGCCTTCCCTCCTCTTCTCTGCGTGGCACCTCTCCATTCTATGCCTTGTTTAATGAGACTCCAAACTATTTCAAACTGCGGGTGTTCGGTTGTTTATGTTACCCATGGCTCCGCCCCTACTCTGCCCATAAATTAGAACCTCGCTCCCGTCGTTGCATCTTCTTGGGTTACTCCGTCACTCAAAGCGCCTATCATTGTTATGATCCCATTACCCATCGCATCTACACGTCTCGCCATGTCCAGTTTGATGAGACTGTCTTTCCTGGCCTCTCTTCCCCTTCGGATCCCACCTATGATCCGCCAGCCTGGGTTGCCACTACTACTCCCCCTGTCACTCTTTATTCCCTCTCACCTGCCCCGCCTTCTCATTCTTCTGCCCCGATCGTTCCTCCACTCCCCGGCACGGCTCCTCATCACCTCACGTCTCCAGCAGCTGCGGTCCCCAGTGCTTCCTCCTCCCAACAGAACAATCCACTCCCTCCACCTCCGGTTAAGCCTGCTCATCGGCCCGTCACTCGCAGCCAGCACGGTATTTTCCGACCCAAGAAACTATTTCTCTCACAGGCTGTTACTCTGGATGTTGAGCCTACTTCGGTCAAGCAGGCTCTTGCTGACCCACGGTGGAATGCGGCAATGAGGGCCGAAATAAAGGCTTTGCTAGCTAATAAATCATGGAAACTTGTTCCGCGTCCTGTTGGTTTTAATATCGTTGGCTGCAGGTGGATTTTTCGTATCAAACGTCGCCCCGATGGTTCTATTGAACGGTTTAAAGCCCGGTTGGTGGCTAAGGGGTTTTCTCAACGTCCGGGCATCGACTTTCATGATACTTACAGCCCGGTTCTGAAGCCCGTCACCATTCGGACTGTCTTTTCCATTGCTCTATCTCATCACTGGCCGATTCTGCAGTTCGACGTCAACAACGCCTTTCTCCAAGGCTCTTTGCAAGAGACGGTTTTTATGACCCAGCCCCTAGGCTTCCGTGATCCGAAGCATCCTGATCATGTTTGTTGTTTGACCAGGCCCATCTATGGCCTAAGACAGGCGCCTCGTTCTTGGTATCTCGCTCTGTCCGGGTTTCTTCAAGAGGAAGGATTTGTCAAGTCCAAATCAGATGCCTCCTTGTTCATTTACCACAAGGACGGTGTCACACTGTACTTTCTGGTTTACGTCGACGATCTTCTACTTACCGGCAATGATGCTCCTGCTCTTGCACATTTCCAGGCTCGTTTGGCTGCTCGTTTTTCCCTCAAGACCCTCGGTCCTGTCCATTATTTTCTTGGTATTGAAGTTTTACCGACATCTTCCGGGTTCCTTCTCTCTCAACAAAAATATGTGTCCGACGTACTTACCCGGTTTGGCATGGCTGACTCGCATCCTGCTCCCACTCCGCTGTCCTCCACCGCCAAGCTCTTGCTCGTTGATGGCTCACCTCCTGCTGATGTGACCCTATATAAACAGGCTGTTGGTTCATTGCAGTATCTCCTCTGTACCCGCCCCGATATCGCCTTCGCCGTCAACAAGCTCTCTCAGTTCATGCACGCTCCTACGCAGCTGCATTGGCAACATGTTAAGCGGCTTTTTCGCTACTTGAAAGGTACATCTCATCTCGGTCTCCGCCTTGCCTCGACCCCCACTCCGTCTCTTGTGGCGTTCGCTGATTCCGATTGGGCTGGCGATCCCAATGATCGCACTTCCACTATGGCATTTCTCATCTACTATGGCGGCACTCTTATTTCTTGGAAATCAAAGAAACAACGTTCCGTTGCTCGATCCAGCACTGAGGCCGAGTATCGAGCTCTAGCACACGCCACGTCGGAGCTTCTATGGCTACAGAATCTTCTTCACGAGCTCCATCATCCGATTTCTACTCCTCCAACTATCTACTGTGACAATCTCGGTGCTGTAAACTTCTCGGCCAATCCCATCCATCACTCTCGCATGAAGCATCTTGCTCTTGATTACTTGTTTGTTCGGGATCTTGTCCAATCACAGCAGCTTCAAATTCAGCATGTTCCCACTGCCTTCCAGCTCGCGGACTCGCTAACCAAGCCCCTGCCCATTGCTCGTTTCCAACTTCTTCGGTCCAAGATTGGTGTCGTTCCCGTCACCATCTTGCGGGGGCGTGATAAGGACTCTTCTTAGATTAATTACTTTCCATTTATTTTATGTAATTAGTGCTGTAGTGGATGGGTTGTTACCCTCTTTGTAGCTACGTGAGTAGTGGTTCTGTTGTAGAGATTGGTATATTTAAACCAATCTCCTATTCAATACAAATCACCAATTCCAGCCAATTACACCTTGATCACAAAGTTTCCACTTACTTTGAAGGAGTTTGGCCTTCTAGGTTTGGGTGAGTACTCTTATCCGATGTTTTCGCTTGGTTACTTGACTTGGAGTTCAACTGTCGTGTGACCGAATGTGCTTTATTCTTACCCTCCTGTTTTGAGTTATCCGATGAGGCCATATTGTCTTTCTTTAGTGTGCACTATTGCCTTATGACTTTTTCCTTTATCATTTTTCACTTTCGGAATTTTTGTATCACCCTTCACAAACTTATTTTTTTCTTTGGAATTCTTCTTGCAATGTGTTTCCTAAACTTATTCATTCAATGTTATGATTTTTTATGTCTCCTATTGCATCAATTGTTCCAACAGTTATTCAGTTTCTTTAGTGAAAAAATCAAACAAACCTTGAACCCTATAAAGTTATTTATCTTAACTTGCTGTTGCGTCCCCTAGTGATTTCCCAGTCCTCCTGTTTGGCTAGGCATCCTAGAAGTGTTCATAGTGACCACAACTTAAACGTATCTCATGGAGCCCTTAGTACTCCACTCTATATACCTTGTGCTTCTGTATTTACTTTTTCACAAGGCGCTTATGCACATCAATCTCAACACAGAGTCTAACACATTTTCTTCTGAATCCATTCACAATGCTATAATCGATATTTTCAAGTCTTTCTAGCTTGCTGTCAATGTCGTTTAGGATATCTTCATCAAACTAGGTCAAGGGAAGTTGAGGGAGGCTAAATGGCGAATTTAACTAATAAAAACTAATTTTTGATTTGTTTCCTGAATTGAAAGCTAAACGTTTATGTTACTTGTTGCATTCAAGTATAAACTTTTGGATGTTGGTATTAAACGTTGAATATAAGAAATTTTCATTTTGTTTGAAAATGTTGCATTTTTTAAATATGGATGTAGATTTTAGAGAAATTGTTTTAGAATGTGTTATATATATGCCTAACGTCATTTAATTTTAATGATTTTTTCACTTCCTTACATATTTTGCTAAAACCGACATCAACCTGTAGTATCATCGATGAGTTCATATCACTTGCCAAACTGACATAACCGTATAAACTAATATGACAACCTGAATAAATCGAATCGTTTAAAAATAAAAACAAATTGTTGTGAGCATAATGCCCAAAAAGTCAAAACCTTCTTTGTTGTAATTTGTGAACATTGAGTAACCTCATCCTTGATTCAATGGAAAATGGACGAACGTTAGAGAGGAAAAGAAGATTCAACGATTTCTCGTTTCTGAGCGAAAGTGTCGTAGAAAGATCGAATCTTTACAGTTTGGATTCAGAGGAAAATGTTGGAAAGAACATGGTTCCGAAAGTAAAACCAAAACGAAATGATAATAATTTGGCACCGCTTATCCAATCAAAAAAGTCGTCCCACCTCCTGACCATCATCACCATACTATTCTCCCAAAGTTCATCAAAAGCATGGCGCGGATTGAAAGATTGTGGTGGTGCTTCTTTCTCCACTTTTCCATCTCCGAAAGTCACCGCGTTGCACATTTGCCGACACCGTTTCCTTCTTCCCCATCGCTCTCTTAGACCAAGCGGCAAAAGAAGTTCGCTCCGGAAAGCTTACCTGATTCTCTAGTCAGACATTAGGATTTCGTCGCCGGGAATTACTCAGGTCAGCTGATTCTCCTTGTTTCCTTAGCTCGACGATTCGATTCGCTTCCTTCCCTTTGCAAACTGCTCTCTCTCTCTCTCTCTCTCCCTCGCCACCCTTGTTGCTTTGCCGGTGATTGGGTAGATGGGTGGTTGAAAATGCAAAATCCTGCTTTTGTTTCTGATGCCTTTTGCCGACGAGCCTTCCCTTTGGTTTGTTTGTTAAGTATATGATGGATCATTAATGCATACGGAAATAAACGCATTTTTGCCTGCGTGAGATTTTGGAATCTGAATTCTGGGTTGGTTCGGAACTTGTGGAATGCAAAAGATCCCGGAAGTTGCAATCTTTTGGATTGTGAATTCCTGGGTTGTCTCATAACGGGGGAAGAAAGTGAAGGTCCAGGGTTAATTTCTCCGGCTTCTGCCCTCTCTTGAGCACCAAATTAGCAGCAGAAGAGCAGGATCCTTCTTTGAGGCCTAAATTGAAAAGATTAATTGCATCTTTCCTATGTTTAGCTTGCTCATGATTCCCTAAATTTTGCACTCAAAAGGCCCCAATCGATCAAATTTCTCATTGTGTTCCTAAAGCTTAGTGCTTGTTTCTTGATGGTTCCATGGTTTGATATCGTACTAAGTTCAGTGGCACTGTCCTTCATTGGATCTGCTTTTCATTTGATCTTTCTCTCTGTATGCTGTGCTTTGTGGGTGATGCTGCTTAAGCTTTTCTTATTACACATCAGGAGTGGGCTTTGTTTTGATGATCTTTGGATATCAGCAAAGCAATGAGTCGTTTGACAGAACTTCAGAAAAACCCCTCAGGTATATGCTTGCTTGTACAGTATGCATCCTGGAAAGTGCTCCTTGAGAGTGTCGGCAATTTAGTGTTTCTTCCCTAATACTTCGATTGTTAGTTTATCTGCTGAAGTCGCCAAGATCTTTAAAGTGGCCAAATAAAAGGAATCTCTTCTGAACATGATTGAATTTATTGAAAGCCCCTGTGTCATCTGTCCTTGGTTCATAATGCATAGATAAAATCAATATAGTATGTTCCTTTCCTTCAGCAATCAACATAGGAATAAGAGTGTTTTATCTTCTTGCTATTGTCAATGAATGCTACGGGTCTTAGGTTGCAGAACTTTTTTCCTTAAGCACCCTACCATTCCCTTCTGTGTGAAATTCTCATTTCACTGTCTTTATATTTTGTTAGCTCATAGCTAACTGCCCATCGATACTTTTTCTTTTGCAGCTAGGAGAAAATTAAGAGATTTGCAGCAACAAAGTGATAATCGTACCTGTGCTGATTGTGGTGCTCCGGATCCTAAATGGGCGTAAGTTTAAGACCCTCTTTCTATAAGTATCCCAAAAATTTGATTTCTTTTTTCTACTAATCACTCTTAATCTTAAGTATACAAGATCAAGCCCAGAGTAATGGAATTCGTGTTCATGTCTTTGATAGGCCCTTTGATTGAGAAACTGCCTCCAATCTTATTTTGCAGGTCTGCAAATATTGGAGTCTTCCTCTGCTTAAAATGTTGCAGTGTGCACCGAAGCCTTGGTACCCATATCTCAAAGGTAAGCAAGCTAAATTAACCTAAACTGACAATATGGAATGGACATGACTTCAGTTGACCTCACCTGTGTAGCTTGTTCTATGCAAGTTTTGTGGCCTTGATTTTTCTTATGATTTCCTCTATTTCATCTTATTTTATGCTCCCGATGCACGTATTCCCCCCCCAGTGACGAACTGTTAGTGGTGCAACTTTAATTGGAGTGTGCAGGTTTTATCAGTGACACTGGATGACTGGATGGAGGAAGAGATTGATTCAATGGCTGAAGTTGGAGGAAATGCAGCTGTTAATTCAATTTATGAGGCTCATATACCTGACGGAGTATCAAAGCCTAAACCGGATGCCAGTCATGATGAGCGTTCAAAATTCATAAGGTAAAGATGCCTTGAATATGGATAGAGAAGTTGCATAATCCATCATCCCATGCTTTATTTGTCTCCATCCCGCTGCCTTCAATTTGCAGTTTTATTTTTATCTCGTTGTCTTCATCTCAGTATTTTATCAATAAATGGTGAGTTTTGAGGAATAAATCCCAATATGCAATTTGGGAGTGTGCAGTGAAGATCTGGTGTGGTACTGGTTTGGTATTCAATAGATTTGTGAAACATTTGAATCTTATTCATTTTGTATGTTATTCTGTCATATGTAAGTCCAAAGAGTATTGTTTGGACAAGTGAATTTGTGGTCGAGCAATTTGAAAAAGAAGCATGGGGGTCACAATTTCTAGAGTGTATTTTCGAATACGTCATACCCCAAAGTACATTAGATTGCATAAATTTGTTGCATTTGCTATCGCTTGTACAATTTCAAATGCACTCAAACACATGAAAAATGTTGGTGAAAACTATACATTTTCTATTGCAAGTTTCACCCTCTCAAATACACCAACAAAATGGCTTCATTGTTAAATCCGTTTCGTTTACCTAACGCAGATCTAAGTATGAGCTCCAAGATTATATGAAACCTGGCTTGCGAATTACCTCAGGAAAGTCTGCTGTATCTTCCCAGTTAAGCTTTTCCAAGAGGATCATGGATTCATTCAGTACCACAAGTGCATCATCTACGGTAATTGCCATTCTACCTTTTTTTCTTTAGGGATCGTTTGGATGGATCAATTGAAAAACGAGACATTTTGGCTAATTGTCTCATTTTACAAAATGAGTCATTTAAAACGAGTCAATTCGAATTGTCTGCCCCATCCCACACAATTGTAATTGTCTCAAAATGAGTCAATTTGAAATTCCCCAGGCAAAATTGCTTTATCTGAATATCATACTGTTACATTCTAGTAACCGAGAACCCTTAGGAAATTCGGTAGCATAGACAAGTAAATTTGCTGTGACAATTTTGTTCACTTGAATTAACTCCGACAGCCCTGCCTTCAGGATGGCATGGTAGAATTCATTGGTTTACTGAAGGTGAAGGTTGCGAAGGGTACAAACTTGGCTGTGAGAGATATGTTGTCAAGTGATCCTTATGTCATCCTCAATCTCGGTAAACAGGTTGGTAAAGGAAAGCTTCACACGTTTTTGTTTCTTTTTTGCCAATTTTTGACGTCTTGAAACTGTTTTTTTTCTGGTTTGCTAGACTGTCCAGACCACTGTAGCTAGGAGCAACCTGAATCCAGTATGGGATGAGGAACTCATGCTCTCAGTTCCACAAGACTATGGCACTGTGAAGTTGGTAAGCATTTTCTTCCTTCCTCTGATGACAAAAAACTTAAGTAGGGAGAGATGGAGGGAGCATTGCAAGTCGCTAACGAAAACATTATTTACTGTCCAAAAACTGCAGCAAGTGTTTGACTACGACACTTTCTCTGCTGATGACATAATGGGGGAGGCAGAGATCGACTTGCAGCCATTGATAAACTCGGCAATGGCGTATGGTGACCCGGAGATGTTTGGGAACATGCAGATCGGCAAGTGGTTGAAATCAGCTGACAATGCTCTCATAGAGGATAGCACAGTAAACATCGTGGATGGGAAGGTGAAGCAACAAGTGTTTCTCAAGCTCCAGAACGTAGAATCTGGGGAGTTAGAAGTAGAGTTAGAGTGGTTGTCTCTGGAGCAATAAAACATTAAGTACATGTATTTACATTTATTCACTTTAATTCTTGATAAAGAAGAAAGGAACGGAAGGAAGCTGGTGGCGATCGCCGTTTTGGGTAGTTGATGAAGCCATGCGAAGTCTTGGTTGTACTATTGAATAGTTTTCCTTTTACCTTCCTTTCCTTTTAGGCTTTTACCCTTTTTTGTTATCTGTCGGATTCTTCACCTCCCCCTGCTCTCTCACTCTTGAACATGTAATCTTATTGAGAGCGAAGACGTTCTATTAATTAGGGTTTTCTGGAGGAATGGTTCCTAGTCTTTCCTAGTATGAATCCATGAAGTTAGTTGTAAAATGTTAGAAACACGTTATTATCATAATAGTTAGACAAATTAGGGTGGGCAACGGGACGGGATTGGGTACCCGTTTCAAACAGTACCCGTTCTTAATCGGCTCATATCTTTTTCATTTTAACTCGGATTTTAATTTTTTTTGCACAGGTGGAACGAGTTCATCTTGCTCTACAAAATGAGATCAATTTTCAATATTTTTTTAGAACAAAAAATTTTGGCCTCTCGGTACCAATTGCATACCATATGGTATTTTCTTCATTTTTAATTCGTTTTTGAAAACGTTTGCACAGAAGGGACGAGTTCATCATGATCTATTGGATCTACAAATTTCTGGGTGAACAAATTACAGGACCAAAAAATACCACACAATACCATACAATACCACCCTGGTACAAGGTGGTATCTTATGGTACATAATGTTAAAAGTCGTAAATGACAGTTAATATATTTCTACTATATTGGATCTATTGGATATACAAATTTCTGGGTGAACAAATTACAGTACAAAAAAATACCACACAATACCATACAATACCACCTTGGTACGGGGTGGTATCTTATGGTACACAATGTTAAAAGTCGTAAATGACAGTTAATATATTTCTACTATCATGTATTCAACCATCATACAGTCTTGGTTTGTTTATACCACCATGGTACACTTTTCAAACCATAGGTATGCTATTATTTCAATACCAGTCAATACCATATGGTATAGACTGGTAAAAAATGGCTCAATTTTTTTTGTTCAATAAATATATCAAAGTGGATATCATTTTGAAGAGCACAATTAATCTGATATAACTGTGTAAAAAAGTTAAATTTTGACTTAAAACGAGTGACAAATCGTCCGTCAAAGATTAATGAGGGAAAATTAAAGACTTTTCAGGAGAGAGAGGGATGCTGATGTCATGCTGATGTGAACATGTTACTCATGATTCCTCACCATAAGGTTATTGACCTGATCCATTGCTCCTCAATCCTAACCCCAACTATAAGCTAGCTCGTTTGTGTTGTGTATTGTCATGGTTTTTGCACACTATTGGGTCACCATAAACCAAGCGGATGTGGATGATGGGCTTAGGTTGGGACTGCGTTTGCTATGCCTTCTATAGGAAATTAATGTAATGGGTATTATGAGTCCCCATATTACTCAAACGGGTATTAGCGGGTATCTTATGGTAAGGTGAATATGCCTTTTATAGGAAATTAATGTTTTAATGGGGTAAATACCACATTTGGTCACTGAGATTACTAAATCGTGTCATGTTTAGTCACTAGAAAAATTTAATATCAATTTTGGTCACTCGAATTACTGAAACAAGTCACATTTAGTCACTCTCCCGTTAGTTTCTGTCCAACTTCATTAATAGAGTTGGACGGAAACTATCGGGAGAGTGACTAAATGTGACCTGTTTCAGTAATTCGAATGACTAAATATGACACGTTTCAGTAATTCGAGTGACCGGAGTTGGACGGAGGCTAATGGGAGAGTGACTAAATGTAACCTGTTTCAGTAATTCGAGTGACCAAAATCGATATTAAATTTTTCTAGTGACTAAACATGACACGATTTAGTAATCTCAGTGACCAAATATGACATTTACCCTTAATGTAATGGATATTACGGGTACCCATATTACTCAAACGGGTATTAGCGGATATCTTATGGTACCAAATTTAGAAATTTTTCATCTCCAATTCCATTATGTAATAAATATTACAGGTATGGGTATACTTAAATACCCATTTCCCGTTGCCCACCAATAAAACAAATGCTTAGTGGCTGATGTAGTGGGACTTACGGGAGGGATCTGGTTGCTTTAGGGTTACTCTACGGCTACTATCAACGAAGTTAAAAGATCGGACTAATTCCTACAACACTACTCTACTAATGAGGATTCTTCTTCTTCTGATAATGATGAGAATCTTCAAGCCTTACAATTTCATGACATCGATGAAAGTTCTGAATCTTCTATCAATATTTTAACCAAAGATCAAGAACTTATTTTAATTTAGATCTAATCAATAATATTGATAATCCTCATCTCAAGGAAAAATATTTCAAAAAACTTCATGAGCACATGTAGAAACCTCATGTGCCTATTCCACCAAACAATCCCTTTCATGAAGCTTCGACCTATAGTGTCAAAGATATCCTTTCTCGACATAATAATAACGATTCTCACAATCCTTCTCTTCGTGATTTTCAAAAGAAATTGGATATTGTTAAGAAAGAAATTCAACAATTATGACAGTTACAAAATAGTGATCATGAGATATTACAAACTTTAATAGCTCTCTAACCTTCAGAAGAGCCATCAACATCTAATCTCGACAACTTTTTCGATGACACTCCTCACACAACCAACAGTTTATAAACAAAGGAAATGCTAACTGGTGAAGATTTTCTATGTTTTTTTATCTACCATTACTACCCAAAAATGGTAAGTTATCATTAATATTCAAGTTTCTTCTGATTTTACTTTAAAGATAGTGGCCCTTCTTGATACAGGAGCAGATATGAACTGCATTCAAGAAGGATTAATTCATACTAAGTACTATGGAAAGACACTCGAGCGATTATCTGCCGCTAACTCTCAACCTCTTCAAATACAATATATATAAACTTTCTAATGCCATAACTTTTCAACAAAATGTCGAATTCAAAACTCTTTTTGTCCTAGTACGTGACATGCAACAAAAAGTGATCCTACGGACACCTTTTCTCATTCTAAAATCTTTTACCGTCACGACCAAGGAATTAACAGTGTTGTGTTAGGCAACAATGTTGAATTCTCGTTTATGCAAAAACGAAAAGTTCGAAACCTAAATGTTTTGCAACGTTCTTCTATTAAATAAATACACCATATAATTCATTGTAAAACTAATCAAATATCTTATTTGCATGATGAGATACATTTTCAACGAATTTTACAACAACTTTCTCAACCCCTTTTGCAAAAACGAGTCAACTCTTTAAAAGAACACAATTAAAACTTTATTAGTGTTGATACAACCAATGCTTTTTGGTATAAAAAACAACATCAGGTTGATCTCCCTTATGAAAAAAAAAATTCACAGAAAAACTCATTGCCACCAAGGCCAGGCATATCCAAATGACTTTGGATCTTGAAAAACATTATCGACAAGAAATTCAATAATTACTCAAAAAATGCCTTATCAGACCTAGCCATTCCTCTTGGATTTGTTCTGCTTTCTATGTCATTAATAATGCGGAAAAGGAACAAGGCGTTCCTCGTCTTGTTATCAACTACAAACCCTTAAATAAGGCTCTAAAATGAATTAGGTATCACATCCCGAACCAAAAGGATCTTCTTCAGAAACTGTCACAATCCGTAATATTTTCTTAATTTGATGTTCTTCAAAAAGAATGAAACAAATTTGGTGTTTTCAATTTTTTGGTTTTTCAAAATTTTAGCCTTTGAAATATGAATATTTAACTTTTATATGGAGGGCATGACTAGTTAAAATTATTCTTATATGCTTTGAAGGCTAATATATATGTATGTAATTGTTTATGGGCTAATAAATAAATTAACCATTAGTTACAACAATTATACTAAACTTGATAAATAATCTTTGACGGTTCATTGTTTAGGGTATAAAGTATATGGTTAGGGTATAGGGTATAAGGTACATATGATTTAGGGTGTATATGATTAGGGTATAAGATATTGATGGTTTTGACGATTCTAAGTTTTTTATTAACATATGTTCACTTGACGTCATTTGAAGTCTTTAACGGCAGGAGATCCCTTTTTAATTTATGTTTATGGTACGTGGTTAGGGTACAAGGTATGTGTTGTACAGTATAGGATATATGGTTAGGGTATAGCAATTAGCAAATATCACTTTTTATCTATGTTTTGAAAATCAAAGTATGAATTTCACTTTTAAATTAACTATACTAGCAAAATCACAACTCAAGGACATATGGTTAGGGTATAGGATATGTGGTTAGTGTATAATTTATAATGTATTGATGGTTTAGGGTATACAATCAACAACATATACTAAGTTAATATTGTTGATTGAGGGTAAGGCTAAGTGTATAGGATATATGTTATTGAGTAAGTTATGATTGAAGTCACAATAGTTTTACTAAATTTGATAGTTAATCTTTAATGGTTCAAATTTTAGGATAATTCGAACAATTTTACAAATAACTCGTTTGGCAACAGTTTACTGAAGTTATTTCGAAATAACTTCTTTTATCACTTTCCTTTTGCCAAATACCAGATTTGCATGGTTATACTAAACGAGATACTTTAATCCAATTACTACTAAATTAATACTAAAATATCAAATAAACAATTAATGGTGTCTTTTGGTTGCAAATATTGATATCACCATTACTATTAGCTAGTGTACTTTACCAATTATGATTACTTACATAACAAGATTGCAAGTCATACAAATTGATTTAACATTTTGACTAGTTTTTTTTAATTAAGTATATATATACGAGGTAGAAATAAATTGGTTAAAAAGTTGAGAAAATATTTTAAATTAGTGTAATAAAATATGTAAGTTGGTAACGAGTAATGAGTAAGTTACTCGATGCGCTAGCCCGAACAACCCGAAACCCGATCCGCCCGCAACCCGCCCGACCCAAAACTCGATGAATCCGCAACCCGATTGAACACAGCCTGAACCCAATTGAACCCAGCCCGAACCCGCCCGATTGACACCTATAATGGTGGCCACCTCCCTCACAACGTCATGAGGGTAGCACATCATGCGGGTTGCAGTATGGTGGCTACCCCTCTCGGCACATACCCTCACAACGTCATGAGGGTAGCACATCATGCGGGTTGCAGTATGGTGGCTACTCCTCTCGGCACATAATGGGTGTGGCGGTATGGTCGCTACCCCTCTCGACGCATAATAGGTGTGGCGGTATGATGATCATCCCACTCAACACATCATGGCGATGGCAGTATGTTGATCACCCTCATCACCACATTATCATTATGAGTGTGGTTGTATGGTGGTCACCGATATGAACACATCATCGGCATAGGTGCCCTTAGCTCAAAAATCCAATCAACTTTGTGCATATTAATTATTTGAATTATGATAATTAAGTTAACCTTATAAAACTATTTACTCCCTTTTATTTAACCAATATGGTACAAGATTAAATTTTGGTGTCAACACCAAGAAACATTCACGATTGAGACAAACCATTCACTACCTCTTCCACCCACACAACACAACACAACCTGGAAGACATCATCATTCCATCATTTGTAGCAAGCAAGCAAAACCTAGAACTGCTATTATCAATACGTCGAAAAGAAATCAACGACAATAAGACATCATCGCACTGTAATTCATAATTTCAACCACCTTCTCATGCATGCTCCCATAATACATGTTTACAAGACTAAAAGTATTTGGATGACTAGAAGGTCGTATAACACTAACACACAATGTTGGTATCTCTAGACAAACAAAGCAAGCGTTATCGGATCAAAATCGAAACGCGTGCTGAATTTCTGGACTACACTAAGGTGTCACACAACGCATCTTCCTTCAGTTAAATTCTTATAAGTTCGACTTACCGGCGGGCACAATAATGTCTTCCAGGTTGGTGAAAGCTCACTTCTTGCCACCTCCAGAGACATTGAACTTGAAGAAAATTATATCTCCATCTTGGACAACATATGTTTTCCCCTCTTGTTTGTACTTCCCAGCAGCCTGTGTTTATTCAAAAAATCTAAGAGCTTCAGCAAATTCATACGAAATTGTTAATTGTACTTGGAGTAGAGAGACTACCAATGCTCCACGGAACCACAATTCTAGAATGATTTATTTATTCCTTCATTTAACTCCCCCACAAGTTCAAAAGCGGGGGAACACACGTAAGAGGTGTGCCGCATTTAAAATTATATGCAGCATTAATGTCGAGAGTTAAAAGTTAAAATTAACCAGGGTCCTCCAAAGTTCAACTCAAGAAATCACTCACCTTGACGGCTGACTCAGTGCCAAGCTCCTTCAAATCCTCGAATTTCATGACCTAACCACAACCAGCAGGCCCAAAGATCAGTCACTTCACTTAATGAACAGTTATAAGGTACATGATACAACTATTTCGATGAAAAGGCGGCAGGTCGAAAATAAGTGGCTAATAAAATCGACGTTCAAAAATATTCTGAGGATTCAGGAGAGAACCACTAGCAATTACAGCCATAACCAATCACAAAGTTCAAATGTATATTGGAACCTCTCTTTCATGAAGGAACTTCCAGGCTGACAGGGATATGAATGCTAAGTAAGGAAGATTAGAGAGGAAAGGAAAAGGAAGAGACATGTCAATTTTGATCGAGGCCAAATGCCACAACTGTAGGTAACTGAAAATTATTACCCAAAAGTTTCCTAGTGCCTAGCTAATAGCTATGTCTATTTAGTTTCCGGCAATAGATATAAACCAATTATCAGAAATTGAGCTACCTCAGCACATATAAACCCTTTCTCAAAATCAGTATGGATTGCCCCAGCTGCCTGAGGAGCCTTCGTCTGCCGCCTGATTTGCCAACATTTCACCTGCAAAAGTATATCTTTCAGACATTAGCAAGCAAAAAAAAAAAAAAAAAACCAGTATAGCAAGTACAGCGACTGAGACTATCACAGATACCAAATAATCAAACTTCAAACCCCCTAAGGCATTGTGCATTTCAAATACGGTCACAAGATAATAACAAATAAATAAAAATTGAGTTTTTTTTTTTTTTTTTTTGTTCATGATGAATAAGAGGAATCCCTAAGTACACAGTTACATTACCTCATCAGGGCCAGCAGTGAAGAAGTATATGAGATTGATTGCAGAGAACCCGGTTTTAATAATTTTAGGAAGAGCACTGCAAAATAATCAGCTTATTTTAATCAATAAAGCAATCTGGAGTAAACAGGAGCCTAAACCCAAATGGAAATAGAACGATTGAGTGAAGCAACCAGGACTACATCATCCATACAAGCCGAGTATACTTAATAGTAAACACGGTTGAAAGAGAAAATTGTTATATATATATTCTTGTGACTACTTCAACAGTTAGGGACAGAGAACATTTCAACCGGCTTGACAGCGATACAGAAGCCAGTTTCCTCTAATCACTAACCTTTGTACCTTGTTCTCCTCACAATACTTAGCTGCTTCATCTGGTGGCATATCAGTCAGATTCCTCTCTAACACACAGCTGAAAGGAATAATGGGTTCACCCCCGTGTTCCTGCACCCTGAAAGAAACAAAATGACCGATAACTTTAAGAAATTTTTAGAATGCCAATTTTACATAATAATTGCTGAATAGATGGGAATACCAAGCATGAATCTTCGGCAAGAACTTGTTCTTTTTCCTCTGGTAGTCTTTCTCATTCATGTTTACCTGTACACGGTACAGAAGGTAGATATTCAAATAATTAAATATAGCAGTGCAAGAAACTAACCTATGGCTATGAGAACTATAAACACGGTCGATGCTAAGAAAAGGAATGCCCTCATTGGGTATGGTACATTCAGAAATATTTTGGGCCATTTAAGGGCTGTCTCCCCTTGGCAAACAGAGTGACTTCAGCCCAGCTAACTTCCTAAGCCCTTTGGAGGGGTGTTTTAACGTGGCAGCAAGTTTGTCTTTGTGAAAGAAAAAGAGGGTGGAACTGTCGTTCGGGCTAGCAGTTGTGACACTAAATAAATTTATGACAAAGGATTGCAACTGAACAGAGAGACACCGAGGGAGTCCATCACAAGGGATAAGGGTCATAAGGAATACCAACCAAGTAAACAACAGGCTTGGCAGTGAGCAACTGGAAAGTATTCAATATCTCAACATCAGCAGCTTTCCAATCTCCAAGGCGCACATCTTTCTCATCCTGAAGCCATGCCTTGACCTGGGGGAAAAAAGACAATGAATCACGCCAATTGGACAAATATTGATTTGAAACAAAACGCATTGGCTATGTGAATCCTAAAAGAAAGGGAACCAAAAGCAAAAAACTTAAGAGTTCAGATCTGAAACAGTCTCCTACGTGTTAAGCTACTGCTTCCGCATCAATATGATAAACTGGTACAAGAACTCATATCAACATGATAACACATGACGATGAAGCTAGAGTTTCATCTAGAAATGAATCTGAACTCATAGAACACAAACCCTTTGGCACAACTCGAGCTCTATCTTCAACTGCTTGTCATTGCTCCTCTTCATGCTCTTTTCAATATCCTCAATCCTCCTCTCCATGAATTCAACATCCTATGTCACGAATTAAGAACAATTTTTAAAACAAAGCTTTCGAAACAATAAAGAACTCCCTAATTCAAATACCATGCACCATAACAGATACCTTTAGTCGCAACTCAATCCCTATAGTTTCCAGATCTCTGACAGGATCCACCGAGTCATCGACATGGATAATATCTGAATCTTCAAATGCACCTATTGCATGCCAACGTAAATAATAGATATTAGCTCTAGGGAGATTGATTGAGAGAAAACAAGAAAAGCACAGAAACTATTACAGTTTATTCCATAGAATACTACCATAAACAACTAGCACACTGCCTAGTGCATTCAATGTAGATGCAAGAAAGCTAACTTACACAACTCGAAGCCCGTTTTGTGGACTATCTTATAGCTAACCATCTAATATAGGTACAAACCACAAAGTCGCGAGAATCAAATAAACAAGAATCACACAATCAACTAGGAAGGCTATCAAGCAGCAGTGGTCTTCTATACTCCTGTAAAGAAAATGTGATTGGATGTACAACCATCATTGTGGAAACACAGCAGTCTCTACCCAGAATCTCCTGCTCGATTATAAGCCCACAAACACAAGAAAATAAAAGCTTTCAAGTGGCGATCCTCAGGATTCATAAATGTTTTCCATGAAACAGATTAAGTACTGAGCCTCTTACGTAGAACATGGAAGATGCCATCAACAGCACGGATATGTGACAAGAAGTTGTTGCCCAACCCCTGTCCTTGGTGAGCACCTCTAACGAGCCCAGCTATATCATGGATTTCAAGAAATGCGGAAACCTGGAGATAACGTGGTAATGTAACAGCCAGAACATTGAATTGTTTAATAAGTACGGATCATGACACCCACAAAGCTGTAAATCACATAAGCAGCAACTAAGCAAGATGCTGGGTACAACAGATCACAGCAACTGCATTTCCCGAATCAATATCCCTCAGTCCAACTACAATGCTAGAACCTATATCTCATAACCTCCTGCAACATAGCGCTTATCCATCCCGATACGTTATCCCTTCCAAGCATAAGAACAAGAAGACGGCAAAGTTAAGAGACGAACCTCGCTTTTCGGCTTGAAAGATTGGCAAAGCCAGTCGAACCTCTCGTCGGGAATATTAATTCGAGCCTCATTAGGTTCAATGGTGCAGAAAGGGAAGTTCTCGGCGGGAATGGACAACTTCGTCAGGGTATTAAAAAGAGTCGATTTCCCGACATTAGGCAATCCAACCTGAAGCCGAAGAACACCAGCAGCGACGACTGAGTATTAAGAACGCTCAACCACATGCAAGCGAAAGAAAGAAGAAGCCGAAGAAGAAGAAGAAGAAAGTAAGCATTATTACTATGCCAATCTTAAGATGGGATGAGAATCGCCCGAGGATCGGGCGCTCCGCCGGCGCCTCCTTCGATTTTGCGGCTTTCGGAGGCATTTCTGGCTCTGTGCGAGTGTGACGATGAGCTGAGAAGTTACGCACCCCAGTCGTCCTTCGTTCTAGGGTTTTGTACCTAATGATTTGCTTCCTAGATTTTAAAATGAAGATTTTGGTAGCATTCTAGTTCTAAAAACTCATAGGTATAAAAGTGTTATAAATTTATTATGAATTTAAAAGTGTTGTTTATAAATTTGATGATGGATTTAGTTACTTATTAGATTTACTTAGATGAATTAGAGGTGGCGATTCTCGATTCAATCCACCAATTCATTAAAAATATTTAACTAATCTAATTTATTTAAATCCAATCCATTTGATCCAAATCTAATTGGATTGGTGGATTCATGGATTGGACCGTCCATAGATCATTGGCAAATTACAATTCAGTACCTATAATATTTATTTTTTTACATTTTGATGCCTAAAAATTAATTTTTTATACGAAAAATATCATTGAAAAATTACGTTTTGGTACCTAAATTTTTTTCTTGTGACATTTTAGTACATAAACTTTTCACATTTTACATATTGGTTCAAGGTTGAGGTCCTGAGGATGTCATTTGGATTCATGGATAATCCATCAATCCACTTGAACCAATCCATGAATCCACCAATCCATTTGATCCATTGATCCACCAATCCACGAATCCAATCCATTTGCCACCTCTAGATGAAGTAAAAGTGATCTTCATTTTTTTTCTTCCAAAAGGTACTTTGTATTAAATGAGATAAACGAGATGCACTAGAGTCAGCTGCCCGACCAAAGCTCGTAACGAAAATCGAACCCCTGTTGAGTCGTCCCGAATATTAAAAGTGGTTATACGGTTCGGTCCTGTTAAATTGGCACAGATTGATCCGGTCCTGGTCCGATCATTTCAAGAATATGAGGACCGAAGATTGGATTGGATACAGTCCGATTTTGACCCGGTCCAATCCCAATATGTTCTTGATTTTAAATTGAGCTTTATTGGGGTTTGAGTAGGCTGAGGCCTAAAAGGATAAGGAGTTTGTTAGGTTTGGGTGTTGGCTCTATTATCTGGTCTTTATACGGTTTTCGGTCCGGTCTCGAACGGTTTTTTCCCCTCAAATCTAAACCCGAAGACGGGATTGGATTGTTTGCTATCCGGTCACCGTTCGGTCCCGGTCCAAGTTATACGATCCGGTTTCTGGTAAAACCAAAAAACCCAGACCAAATAGCCACCCCTACCGAATATCACAATAAAAATCTCAATTAAGGCGCAAGTATAAACTTTAACCGTGTGCAATATAGGGCAAATATGTTTTAAACATCAAACCGGGCCGGTACAGGTAATGACATATGTACCTCAAATACCAGATATCATTTACCTGTCAATTGCATGTCGTCTTGTTGGGGTGAGGGTAGCTTACCCCAATATCGTTTCCTCTATTCTTGTTCCTAGCTTTAGCAATTCCTTATATAATAGTACTGCTTAACGGGCGTAGGCCAGGTATCAACGATACCTTCTACGACCGCTATATTGCAAACCTAACAATCATATATTTGTTCCTAACAATGACAAGTATACCACTACTTCGGTTAGTAGTTGGGGTGCGTTGTTTTTATTACTCGATCTCACACTATTGTGGCATCAATTTGAAAAGTGCTTTGACAGCACACCACAAAATCTGTGCGCTACCCCAAAATTTTGACCAGTTGTTCAAAAAATATGATTAATCTCCCATAAGCCTCTTATTTCTCTCCTCATAATGTTTCCAATATATAACAAATGAAAATTCCTTTTCAAACACTAACATTGGAGCACAATAGTTTTTTTTAGTTGTGAAACTAGTGAAAAACATGTTAAAATATATAGTTAAAATTTTGTGTAGTTAACTCATTCATAGCGAAAATCACATTGTAACATATTTTAGCTTAGATTTTATTTTGAATTGTTTTAATCATCTAAAAACTGTTTTGAGTGGTTATAAAAATATTGAATTTAGTTGTTATTTGGATTTTTACTTTTTTTGAATAATTCACCTTGAAAATTTTGGGCCTCTCGATATCAGTTCATGTCCCCGTTCTTGATCTATAAATTAATGAAAACAATTTCAATGACCAAATATACCATCATATACTATCCTGGTTCATGCTGTGAAAGTAGACGGTGATGAAATGGATAAATTATAGTTAGTATATTTCAATTATCATGTATATAATCATTTTATACTATGATATATTCATATCACTAAAATACACTTCCATGACACCATTGGTATAAGCAAGATCGAAGCACCTGGAGCTTCTAACATAGTAGCTTGTCGGCTTCCCAAGCCACGTCTGAGCGAGAAGGAAGTTTTGGATTTGCGAGTGGCGCTCTTCTTGGGACACAGGTTGGGTTGGAGAAAGATTGTCAAACCGGTTTAAGTCATTGAGCCGTTCAAGCAAGGGGTTTGAGGTTTAATGGTCTGATCAGGGTCCGGCCGGTTTGAGTTGTTTTAGTTGTTTTCTAAATAAATATACAAATAAGCTAGTAATTAAAGATTTAATAACTGGAAAGAAATTTATCTATTAAAAACATATTTTCCACAAAATAAATCTACTTAACCTCTATGATCCACCCACCATATTCCTTTCTTCGTTCCTCTTCATCTATTCCTCCTCTTTTCTTCTTATTTAGGTCAGACCGGGGGACTTTTTGGAAACTATTTTGAGACCTGATTTAGATCGGACCAGGTCCAACCAAAGGTTCGATAGGGTTTAACAATTGGAGTATCTGATGTGATTGGTAATTGCTCACCCTATCCATTCGTGAACCCAACAATTAACAAAACAAAACGGAGAAACCCGATTTCCCAACCAAAACGACGTCTCAGACCAATCGCAAAACAGCAGAAAAAGCCGTCCAAACGGCTACTATTATAAATAAAAAGGGGGGAAACGGCTCTGTTCTTCCTCGTCCTTTTCAATTTCACTCACTCTTCTGTTGTTTCGCCTTTCTTCTTCCTCTGCTTTTTTTCCTTTCCCTCACAAACGGCAAAAAAACTTTCTCAGTAAACAAACAACAGAATTCCCCCCGCTTCTTTCCTACTAACAAACTCTCTCTATCTCTGTTCCCCCCACAAACTTCCTCGGCCGTTTCTCAGCAGAAACCAGAAGAGGGGAGAAACAGCAGTGGGGGATTTCTGTGTCCGCGCGATCACACCCTCTCTTTCCGTTTCTTTAGTTCGGATAAAAAGGGTCGTCGCAGAAGAATTTCCGGCAATGCGGCAGAAAGAGAACGAGCAGGCTTGGAGTTGCGATCGGAAAGTTCAAGCTCGGGGCTTCCTCACCCCGCCGCCGCACACTCGTGCCCGTCGCCGTCTCTTTCCGCCGCCGCCATTCTCGGAGAGGAAGATGGAATCCTCCTCCGCCAACGCCAACTCTTCACCCGTCGGGAGTTGCAAGCACGACCTCTTCCATGTCGTTCACAAGGTCCCCGCCGGCGATTCTCCCTACGTCAAGGCCAAACACGTTCAGGCAAGTCCAACCCAAATAAGTCCACCTTTCTTTCTGTTCCTTTTCTTTTCTTGTCTGGGTATCTCAGTTCTGGATGAATTTCGAATTTGAAACGCCGCCTGGTAAAAAGTTCTCTGTTTCTTGAGTTATGTTGAACGTCTTTGGAGTTTTTCGCATGCCAAGTGTTCTGATGATTGCCTCTGTGGAATTCTCTCTCTCTTTTTTTTTCCTGGGTTCGTTCAGTTGATTGAGAAGGACCCGAGCAGGGCTGTCTCCATGTTCTGGGCCGCCATTAACGCTGGTGACCGAGTTGATAGTGCCTTGAAAGACATGGCTGTGGTGCTGAAGCAATTGAATCGTTCTGATGAGGCAATTGAGGCCATCAAATCCTTTCGTCATCTCTGCCCTCAAGAATCGCAGGAATCCATTGACAACGTGCTCGTTGAACTCTACAAGGTAATTTGGTACAAACCCAGATATCGATTGCCCTCTACTTTCCTTACTTGGAGAACACGGCCCTGACCCTGCTTCTTTTTGTTGATGATGTCTGTTTTGTTTATCTTACAGAGGTCAGGAAGGGTAGAGGAAGAAATTGAAATGCTTCAGCGCAAGCTGAAGAACATAGAAGAAGGAATGGTGTTCGGTGGGAGAAGGACAAAGGTCGCCAGGTCTCAAGGCAAGAAGATTCAAATAACCGTTGAACAAGAGAGGGCTCGAATTCTAGGAAACTTGGCCTGGGCTTACTTGCAGCAGCACAATTATGGCTTAGCTGAACAACATTACAGGTATGTAACTGGAACTTGGCTGTGAATACCAAAACAAAAAAGAAGAGTTACTCTCCATGCTTGTTCTGATGGAAATGGAGTTCGTTAATTCTTCTTCTGCAGGAGAGCTCTGTCCCTGGAGCCTGATAGGAACAAGCAATGCAACTTGGCAGTGTGTCTGATGCACATGAACAAGCTCCCTGAAGCAAGGGCTCTGCTTCAAGCCGTAAGAACTTCTTGTGGGAACAAACCAATGGAGGAATCTTACGCGAAATCGTTTGAGCGTGCTTATCAGATGCTGACGGAGTTGGAGTCACGCCAATCAAGTGATGAACCTCCTTCTGCTTCTTCTTTGCAAACGCAACCAGTTGGTGATCACCATGGCTGGACGGAATGCCCCTATTTTGCTGCTGCTACACCTCCTCCGCCTCGAAGCTTTGGCATCCTCATGAACAGCGGAAGGCACCGCCATAGGCAGAATTGCTACGCTTCAACGACACCGGTGCTGTTCTCTCAGCCGAGAAGGTGTTTATTCGGAAATTTGGGAGTAGAGGGATTCCCAAGTAGTACTACAAATCATGGAGAGCAGCAACAGTCGAGTGGGGGAGGGACTGAAGCTACTGCGTTGAAAATTGAAGCGAGTATGGTCACCCCTCGGCTGGAATCCCAGCCAAGATGGGTGGCCGCTTCTTCTTCACCTTCGCCTGCTGAAAGAGACTGGAGGAAGCCGTGGACACAAGCCGCTGCTGCGGCTACTACTCCCGGGAACAATGACAATAATAATATACTGGTGAAGTTTCCAGTGGGTACGAACAAGAGTTGGGCTGAGATGGTTGAAGAAGAGGAGGCCGAAGCAGAGCTGGGAAAGCTACCAACAGGTTGGAAGACTGATGATGTAACAGGAACTCTGGGCGAGAACTGGGATGCAAACATGGCTAATGATGTAAGGAGCTGGTATACAAAGAACGAGCAGCAATCTTCCCAAACTGACGGAGTTGGTATATCGAGGACAACAGCCGCATTGAGACGCCTGTGCTTCGACGTAGCTGGGAAAAATATGAACACCACGACGACTAAGAGAAGAAACCGTCTCCAGGTCTTCAAGGACATAACCCCAACTCCAGATAGTCCACGAGCATCTTCTGCGGCAATGTTAATGAACAAGAAAGAAACGGCACTCTAAATTCGTTGATTCTTTTGTAAATGGTGATTTGTATATCATTCCTTCAATCATTCTTTCAATGTAATACATACAAGTGACGAATAAATAATTCTCCTCCCCGGAGAAGGGCTGTTTTCCAGATACCATTTGCAGTGCAGATACCAATTACTGTCTCCCTTTTTGTACTAACCATACAAGAATTGCGTAGCATTCACTCAGAAGGGGGACAAGACCTGAACTGAGTAGCAGAAACATGAAGGGAGAAAAGATCAATTAACTTAATGGATCGTATTGAGCCAGGACAAAATTGATTAGGATCTCTCATCTGTCTATGTAAACCTGAGTAGTACAGAGAGGGATCTGAAGTTGCTCAGTCAAAACTTAGATACATCCTCCTCCGAAAGCTTTAATCGGTGAATCACAACTCCATTTTGAGCATCAGAAATCTTCCCCCATCTTCCCAGACGAGGTTCCTATTGCAGAACGAACAGATGATCTGTCAGCTTATTATTACGAGGCAAGGATATGAGAGCATATTATCGAAACAACAAACCAGAATCTGTATATTGAGAGTTCATGTTACCTTGCCAATGCCAACAACGAGGAACTTTCCAGATTTTGCAAAAGCCATAGAGTTTACAAAGCCAACCTGTGTGTGTTCAGAAAGAAGAGAGCTTGTTAAGTAACATCAAAAGGAGTATTAAGGATGAAATAATGCATAGGAAAGAGAATGTCAAATGAGAATGTTGATATATGATTTGTTTGCTAACCAGAGGAAGATCAAACAAGGGTCGAATGACTTTTGGAGAACTATTAATAGCCCATAAACGGACTGAACCATTGCCAGCTCCTGATGCTGCCAAATCGCTTCCTCTGCATGCAGCAACTGAGCTTACCCAGGAATATGCTGATGACAGTAATGATAATATGTGAGTGGGATGATTAAATAACTAGGGACATTAAAAGCTGAGCACCTCATGATATAAAACCATTTTTTGTCCACAATGGCCACTTTAATTGACGTATAAATAAACACCACCAGCAAGAAGCAGGTTACGTCCATCACCATTAGAGGGTTTCCGGTTGTCCTTTTCTTCATCCCTGATGTCAGATGGCATAGCATGAGCGTCCCTGATACAGTCCACGGGCTTCTTCCTTTGTACAGTCCGCAGCTCGACACTCCCATCATCCGAGCCAGAGAAGAAATCCTCATAATCAATTAAACAACAGCTCTCTAAAGCCGAGGTAGAAGAACGAAAAATTACTCGGGACTCCTCAGGGACCTGTGTGCAAAATCCAGATATGAGATGTCAGCATTACACCCAATTGAAAGTAGAATTTAATACAGGACATAAACTGAGAGAGAAGATGTAATGGTTCGGGATGCCACTCTACAGTAGCATGCAGAAGAAGATGCTTAATATAGGCCATTGGAAACTTATAAGTCGCAGCCCATATAAACGCTTATAACAACTTTAAACCACGAGTCAACCATGGATCAAAATGTCAAGACAAATTGAGAAGTGTTCCTCTTTTGTACCTTAAAAAACTGCATAGTACGATCACGTCCTACAGCCAATACCCTTTCTTTCCGTAGGCAATCAACATTTAAAACGTCACTTTGATGACCAAATAATGTGCTTATGTAAGTCCTGTCTGCAACATTCCATATCTTGATCGATCTATCAAATGAACCAGAAAAGAGTTCTGAAGTCCCATGCCTAAATGCTAGACATGACACAGCTCCTCTGTGGCCTGGGAAAGCCTGGAAGACATTTAACAAGGATTCAAATGAGAAGAAGTGAAGAACAGTAGAATCACACAAATTCATAGATAGGCATATTTGACAAATAAGATATAAGAAACCAGCCAAGATACCTGAACATGTTCACGTGTCCGAGTATCCCATAAGTGAATGTGCCGATCTGACCCTCCACTAGCCAAATACCGGCCATCTGGGCTAACAGCTAACGCTAAAACACTTTTACTATGTTTTGTAGCTCGACCTTCTGGATCCTTGGCTCCATGGGATTTCAAAATTTTGTCAGTTGGCCATTTGTATCTTTCGCTTTTCCCACTCTCTATATCCCAACTAACGATTGAACCATCTTTGGAAGCAGAAAAGCCCCTCAATTCATCATCTGATAGGCACACTGCAGTGACAGGATGTGTGTGCTTCACTAGGTACCGAAATCCATCACCAGTTTCAGGCTTCTGAACCCTAAACCATTGACGAAAGTAAGTTGCCATCCAAATACAAACACATTCCACTGGTCAAATTCTGGCACAAGCTATATATATCTACATCTTAACAGGCTCGAAATGTCAACAGAAGGAATGTGTCACAATCCATTCACTGCTACCAAAGAAGAGTGTCTCGTCTTTAGTAACGAATGCTTGAAACTTTAACAAGCCTCAAAGGAATAAACTTTTTCATAAAATGAAACCAAACGTATAGTTTCTTCAACTAGCTTACCTAGAAGCAACATCCCTCCTCAAGCGCCCACTCTCCTCCAACTGTTCCTTCATCAACTTCCGAGCAACTAAGGAATCCCTCTCGCCTTCCTTCTCATACCCTTTTCCTTCTTCCACTTCCCCATCGTCCTCCTCTGCCCTTTTCTTCTCAATAGCCATAAGATTTTGCAGAGCCTCTTTTCCAAGCCTTACTTTTTTCTCGGCGGCTGTCTCATCGGCGTATTCATCAATCTCTTCATCCTCATCGCCGTGTCCAGAGCTCGCGTCCGAGCCAGGGTACCCATTCTCCTGGTCTGACTCCCCTGACTCAATATCATCATCGCGGAAACCCCCCTTCCGCCGCCTCTTCGTATCGGGATTGAAAAATGAATCGCCATTGCTCTTGGACTTGTTTGGACCTCCCAGTCCTCGCTTCGCCGGAGCTTTGCCCTTCATGAGTAAGAAATTATCAGGGCGCCAGGGTAGAGAGGCAACCCTTCTGGCAGTTGTAGAAATCTGGTAAAGCCGCGACTTCGAAAGTTGCAGGATAGTCAGGGGGGAAACTAGGGAGGTGTATTAGGGCATTCTGGGGAGAAAGCTGCACAGGGGTTTAACGTTAGGGTTTATTTGTCTCGGTGGAAAGGAAGCGGCAAAGTGATCACGGAGAGGAAACAGGAGGAAGATCTGGGTCTGGTGGTCGGATCGTGCAATCTACAGTTAATCGGGTTCTCTCAGGTGAAAGGCTGTTGATACATGGGCCGGGAGCCCAATGGAGTTCTTATACAGGCTTACTCTTCGTGTCAAACTAATCATATTCAAGGTATTATAACGATAATGGCTAAGGGGTGGTTTGGATGGATCAATCTAGAAATGAGTCAATTTGATCAATTGTCTCGTTTTATAAACGAGGCAATTAAAACGAGTCAATTCGAATTATCTGCCCCCACCCCAGGCAGTGGCGGATACATGATGCTTTAGGGGTGTCCCGGACACCCCTAAATTTTGGGAACACGATTATTCAACCCCCGGTAGTAGTTTCGTAAGGATAAACAAAATATAATTAGTAATCTGGGACACCTCTAAAATTTTAATAAATGATTTATCTTACCCTCGATAGTAATTTGCGTGATTAAAAAAATATAAGTGGTACTCTGTGTTATTCAAATCTAGGACACTACTATTATTTAACATCTTCTCCATTAGGTTATAACTCATTTGTTCTATTTTAAACACTATGTAATGGTGAAAACGCGATTTCTTATCCCCAGGGGTACCCTAATTTGAATTGATTTTGTGGTAACACTGCAAGTGTTGAAACAGTCTTTTCAACTCTGAATTACATCATGAACGAGGTTAGAAATTGAATATGCGATCTAGTAGGATATACCGTTTGTTGAGCAGTGTACACACCAAATCTATCTTATATTTTTTTCGAAATATGAAAACACATCGTGACTTTTTGTCAACATTTATACTAATTGGATATTTTATTATTTATGTATTATTTAATTTAATTCAATTTTTGGAAGAGGACACCCCTACAAAAAATTTCTGGATCCGCCACTGACCCCAGGTAATTGAAATTGACTCAAAACGGATCAATTCAAAATACCTCATGCAGATTAATCCATCCAAATTTTTTGCTGGCAAACGAGGCAATTTGATACAATTGTCTCAAAACGAGACAATTGTGTCAAATTGATCCGTTACAATTCCTCATCCAAACGACCCCTTAAATTATATGTTTGGTCACTCAAATTATACAAATCTTTTACGTTTGCCACCTGAATTATTTGTCTTTCTTATTTGCCACTAACTTTATGAATCGTTTCACCGTTAGTCACCGGCCGTTACACTCCGTTAAATTTATCCTACGTGGCAGTCAACTATAAAGTTTGACCGTTAACTAGATGATGTGGAAATTAAAAAAATTATTTATTTTTCCACCTCATCTTTCCACTTACTTTATCTGCATAATTTATCATTTCAATTATTTAATAAAAATTAATTAACTGCCCGCACGACAATCTCCTCCACTACATTGTCGGAGAGATCCAGATGGCCGCCGTCCAAGGTCCGACGAGTATCGGACCTTGGTCCAACCCTCGATGTATTCTCCAAACAACCACGATTTCCAAAAAAAACCACCCCCTGCATCGACACGGAAGATTTTTACTTATTCAGGCTCTGCAATTCTCATAAAAAACGATCGACCATTGTGAACAACATTCGCGTAGGGCGTCACAACATACATATCGAATGTGTACACAAAAAAGGCCAGGACAGAGTCCTTAAAGACCGACAAGTATCGTAATAAGCAATGCTAGTGAAGATAGGGCGCCAATCTTCTCGTCGAAATTGGAGTCACAGTTAGGGGAGACACTAACCTCGAGACACGAAAGCATATAATTTTGAATCCACAACTGCGAAACCCATAACTTGGTAGAATTGTCCTCGGGATTTGCTGATGGCGCTGGCGGTCGGTAACGGTGGCGGTGCGGTACACCGTCGGGTTGGTGACAGTGATATTTGCGGCCTTTTTGTCGCGACCCAGATGAAATGGACGA